CATCTTTGTCATCTCTTATTTGGACTTGGCAACAACCTCCAAACCTTTCTCACTGGTGGCCTGCCTGCTTCCCCTAAATCTACCCCCAACATTTATTCATTCTTGCAACAAATAATTATGGGGGCTCTCTTGAACTTTGGGCACTGTGTTAGGCTTTGGCAATATAGGTCCCTGCCTTCCTGGGACTTACTGTTGAGTAGAGGAGGTACATGATGAACCAATGAGATCATTCCAGCAGCAGTAGGGGCTGTGAAGGAACAAGAACAGAGTCAGGCTGGGGTGTGTCTGTGGAATCTTAGCTGGTGTGTCCATGAGGTGGGGGCATAAGTGCAGAGGCCTAAATGGCAAGGCATTCCATGCTAGGGAGCAGCTCATGAAAGGCCTGGAAACCTTTGGAGATGATGTACGGGACACATGAAGAAAGTCAGGGGCTAATGTGTTGAAGGTGTTGGGTGTGTGTTGACAGTGGGGAGAGGGTGACATGAAGTGAGGTTGGCAGAGCATGTAAGGGCCACATTGTGAAGGTTACTGCTAGGGTGCAGATGTGGGTGTTGGGTGGTAGATAGAGCTCACAGGGAGCCAATGAAGAATTCCAAACAGGAGAGAGATTTTTGAAAGACCTCTCTACTGCAGGCTGTCTATAGCCTATTTGCCCAATAGCAGTGTTTCTGAATGCTACGAGACCGCACACCTCCTGCGTCTCACTTCCCATCGGCTTCCTTCCGTGGTCTCTAAGGCTGTATGTGATTGGACACTTGTTGCCACTGTAGTCTTACCCCCCTGGACCCACTAAGCCCAGCCACACTCCTTGTTCTGTTGTTTCAGCAAGCCAAGCTCCTTCTGCCTGTGGCTTGTGCTTTTGCTTTCCCTCCACCTGCCCTGTCCCTCCCCAATCCAAGGGCACCACCTGGACTACCTGACAGTGTCTTTCCTCTAAGAGAAGCTGAAGCAGCATCTTCAAGGACTCACTTCCTCGGAGTGAAACCCTCTCTCCATCTCTCATGTAAACTTCCTGCCAGCTTCCCTGAGCACCTGTAGGTTACAGCATCCCAGCATGTTTCCCCCACCTGAGCACTCACCAACTACTTGCCTGCCCCCTCCCCATATACATAGCCACTTCTTGAATAAAACCATCCTGGCTGAGCATCCATGAATTATCAGCATCTATCTCAGAGACTGGCAGGCAATGCTTAGGCTACCAGCTGCTCAGTTTAGGTTGTCATCCTGAAGTGGGCACCATCTGTATCCCCATTTTATAGCTGAGGAGCCTGAGGCTCCAAGTAGTTTTCCATCTGACCTAAAAATGGCAATGTGGATCACCCTGTGTGCCTGAGGGAATGTCGTCCCATCTCCTAATGTGATCATCGCACGGGGCAGGTGGTCTCTTCAGTGGTTTGTAGGGCTTCGGGCATTCCTACTGTCTGTGCAGCTGGTGTGAATTAGGGGTCTCAGAAGCCAGGCAGAGGATGGGACTGCGGGGAGCCCGAGGGGTGCAGGGTTGGCACTGTGCTTCCAGCTCAGGAGGACAGTTCTACTTTTCCAAGGGGGCCAGGAATATGAATTTGATGCAGAAACGTCCTGGTTTACCTGTGTTTAGGCCACACAAGCTATTAGTAGCTGGTAGTGCAAAGGCAGGACTGCCTTCACCCGAAGGTCAGCCCCAGACCGATCCCCAGGGGGACTCGGTAACAAACACACTCGACCCACTGAAGAGCTGCCAGCTTTGCTCTGAGGAAGGCTACAAGTCCTTTTCAAAAGTTCCAGGAACAGAGGGCACACTTGAAAACACAAATGTCTGAATCCATGTTAGGTATGAGATAACACCAAAAAAAATACCATTTCTTTTGTTAGAGTGATAATGGATAAGCAGGAAAATGTTCTTAGTAATTTAGAAATACGTACTGAAGTATTCAGGGCCTAATTTAAAGCACATTGGCAAAAAGGTAAAAATGATGAAGCAAGTATAGAAAAGAGTTAAGACCTTTATTAGATAGAAGGTTATGGGGATTTATTTGCTTTAGTTTTTGCCGCATTTTGAAATTTTCACGATAAAAAAGTGTGAAAACGGAAGTGACAGTCACCAGAGAGCAGATGGCCTCCTGTGAGCTGTTCCAGGACGGCCTCTGCCCCACGGCACTCTGCCCAGCCCCATGTGTGGCACAGTGCAACTCTCCGCGGGCACCCCCAGGACCGAGGAGGCAGTGGCCCTGGCTGAGGCCGGCAGCCAGGCACGCAGGTGACGGGCGCCTTCTGTCCACACCGTAGATGTTTTCTGCCAAGGCTAACCAGTAAGCCTGTGGTTAGGAGGTCTGTAGATTTTTCTTCTGTAAATTCAAGAATGTTCTGGATTGCTTGAAGGTTAAAAACCTGAAACTCTGGGTTCTGAGCCCTTGGACAAGTTTCCCAGCCTGCTTGAGCCTGTTTCCAGCCTCAGAGATGTGGTAAGGATGTGGGGCAGGGAAAGCACTGGGTGCCAGTAAGAATAGAGACGCCATAGACATCGCTGCTTTCCCTGAATGGCTCAGGGAAAATTGCCTGGGTATCAAATTCGCATTGCTGTCACATTGAGTTTTCTCAGGAGCTGGCTGGGGTTTCCGGGACTGGCTAGCTTGAGGAATCAGTACATGGGAAGGATTTGGAATTCCCCCAAGGTGATAACCTTTCTGCCAGTCACTGTTGCCCCTGGGACTTGAGTGAGAAGAGACATTGATCAAGCGGCAATGGGCTGATTCAACTCCTAGGTAGATCCTCTGACCTTCCTTTTAGGGGTTCTCACCTTCCTAGGACCCTGTAACCAGCTCACAAGTTGCATTAGGAGCCATCTCCAATCTGTCCTTGTTGCTTTCAAGTGTGTTGAGCAGCCCCCTCCAGAAGAGGGAGAACTCTGTGCCAGTTCTTCCCAGGCTGATGAGTTCCTTTCTTGCCTTCACATAGCTATGCCTCTCAAGCTGTCCTTGAAGGCTGCTTCTGCGGATGAAAAACTAGGTTTAATTTGCTGGATTCAGCACTAACCTGGTATATTAACCAGCTTCCCAAGGAGAAACGTCTAATTGCTTAATGATGGGTTGAAAGTTGGAGACCCCGGAGCAGAACCTGGCATTCAGGCCAGGGAGCAGCAGAGCCTGGACAGCTCCAGCTTGGGCCGGGACCTGCGGCTCTCCCGGCTGGTGCCTCAGCTCTGCCCACTCAGGGCCCCTGCACCTCCCGCTAGGCTGCGGGCGATTTTAGGGCACAGCTCTGCCCCCTGCCTGGGCTGTGCTGGTGGTCAGGGGGAGTGGCCCTCGGTGTGTTCCCTTACTGCCACCCCTCTGAGGGGAGTTCCCCGCTGAGGCAGTCCCCAGGGGAGTGGCTTTGGGCCAGAGGACCTGCTGAGACCTGGAAGTGGCCCCAGGCCCTGCTTAGTGTTTCTGCCTCCCACCTGGTGCTCGGAGACGGGTTGCCAGACGGAATACAGGACACCCAGTGAAATTTTAATTTCAGATAAACAATGAATAATTTCTTAGTTTCAGTGTGTCCCAAATATTGCCTGGAAAGGTTTTATTGTATGGTGCACATTTGAACACTGAAAAAGTATTGTATTATGAATTATTGAATATTGAGTTATAAAAACTGAAAAATGACTCACTGCTTATTGAAATTCAAATTTCACTGTGTGTCCTGTATTTTTATTTGCTAAATCTGGCACTTAAAGGTTCTCCCTGCCATGCTTGGGCCCTAGACAGGGCCTTGGAGGGACTCTGCCAGAGACCAGGCTACCTACCAGGCAGCGCTCAACTCAGGTGGCTCTGCGCGTGAGGCCTCATTCCGCAGACCGTTGCGGAGCCCTGCCTGGGCTGGTGCTGTGCCGGCACTGGGCATGGGGCAGAGGTGAGTGCCCCTCCATCTGCGGGACCTCGTGGATGAGCCGCCCAGCCCCTCTCTAGGCTGCAGTCTTCTCACGTGAGATTGACCAGAGCATGCTTCTTCTGCCCTTGTGAGGATGAAGAACCTTGTCCCTCCTGCTGCCCACTCTGCTGTTCCTTTACTCACTGTTCTTGGCTTTAGTCCAGAAGGAGCATCACAGGCTCAGAGAAAGCCTTTCCTGCTCTCTCACAGGCCAGGGTTTCTAGTTATAAACCAGGGCTGCCAGTGCAGATCAAAATGAACAGGATGGGTTACAGAATCTGCGAGGCCTGGGCAAAATGGACACGTGGGTCCCCTTGTTCCAAAAGTATTAAGAATTTCCAGATAAGTCCAAGTTCCACACTGTGACTGCATAGGGCACATGCCTGGGAAGCAGGCTCTGCTGGAAAGGGCCAAGGAGATCCAAGGTCGGGGGTGGCAGGAGGGTCTGGAGCAGGGCGGGGTGGAGACTGCGCCAGACCTGCACTTCCTCGGGGACAACACCGCACCGCACAGCCTGGTGTGACCTTGCGGGTAGGACAGTGCTGCCGTGTCTCCTAGTTTTTCAAGACAAGCTAAAATTTGTTTGTTTATTAATACGATCTTTCTTAAATAGTAGCAACTGATTTATATTTCAGAAAGTTTCTATGAAGGCAAAATCAAGCACCCTCTTTACAGGGTGGCATTTAGTGTGATTAATAATTATACACTCACCCATATGGTAACTAGATTTATCTGTGTCTCCCCCACAGTCACCTCCACCAGGGCCACAGCAGTAACTGTGTGTGTTTATTGTTTTACCCTCAGTCCCCACCACCGCATTCGGCACATGGCAGGTACTCAATAAATAACAGCCACAGTTGCTAAGACCTCATTCATTTTAGGAACACACTGTAGGGAGTTTGATGAACCTGCTTTCCCCCACTTAATAGCATGAGCATCTTCCCTGTTATTAAACGTGACTACACATCTAAAGCCTGAGACACCCTTTACATGTGACAGTTACCCCATAAATGTTAGTTGCCTGGGCCGTAATGGTTGATCATTGTATGTCCTGGGGGAAGCTTATGGATAGGCTAGGAAAGCACACTTGAGCACACTTGTCTCTGTTTTTTCAGGATGCCAAGTTTGTGGAGGAACGAAGGAAGCAGCTCCAGAACTACCTGCGCAATGTCATGAACAAAGTCATCCAGATGGTCCCTGAGTTTGCCACCAATCCCAAGAAAGAGACCCTCGTTCAGCTGATGCCCTTCTTTGTGTAAGTAGCATTCACGGGGACGTGCTCCGCCCACGTGTCCTTTTTTCTCTCTTCCATGGATGGGCAGCGAAGCGTGTCTGTGTCCTAGACACCCGGGACCCAGTGTGCCCTGGGAGCCGTGGGAGACTCGTGCCACAGTGCTTCGGAGTTCCTAAAGGGCTCATGAAAGAGAGTCTGCAAATGAGCATTGTTGATTTGAGGTTTGCAAAAAAACTCAGGGCTGTGTGGTTTTATACTTTCATGCATTGTGATCACAGGAAAGCTTCATTTTCCGTGCAGCTCACAGATGTTCCAGAGCCAAAATGCTCTCCCAGTGTCTTCTGCCTGGGTAGTGAACCCAAAGAAAAATTCTCAGACTGCCACTGGTACCGACTTAAATGATTTTCGTATTAATATTACTTACTTAAAGCCAGGTATAAACACAACTTGGAACTAAGTATAAATTCCTTGTTTTTATATGTCCTTGTAAAAGTAAAAAAATTTTAAAGAAGTTTACATGCTAAGCACTTACAACATCATTACAACTCAAAGTTGTCAATGCAGTGCTGAGGCCATTTTTCTGCAACCAAATCTTGGCCTGCGGCAGTGTGCAGCAGGTCTCTGCGGCGTGCCGTGTGCCATGCGAGTGTGCCTGCTGACTCCATGCCTCCCCGTCTTCCTTGGGTCGCATTGCCTGGGAACATCTGTGCAGCGCTTTCAAGCAGGTGGCTGTCACTTGGTGTCACTACCTTATCACCGATGAGTCCACTTTGTCCTATTCGGTCTCTTACCAGCCTGAGACATTTACATCCTTAGAATGTTGAGAACCAGAATGATGAAACAGTACTTAGTGTCTAATGGGCCTTTAGATGTTGTAGAATATAATTCCATTATTTCTAAAATATTATCATCATAATGGAAACACAACACAGAAACACACAGCGGACCTGTGGCTTCCCCAGAATGGGATCGGGACTCATCATTCGAGAAGCGCTGGTCTGAGCGTATATGATTTACTGAGATAAAATAAGTTTCCTTTCATTGAAGTTCTTTAAAATGCTGTGCTCGGGGTTAGAGAGTCTGATTTGTTCTAACAGTGATGCTGTGACATAAAACAGGGGCTTATTTCTGCTTCTGAATGTGGGGGCTCTCCCTCGGTGCCGCACTTCCCCGGTTTCCAGGCTGAACTTCCGACCGGACAGACACGGGCAGCACTGCTGCTCCCACCTGCTTGGGGCCTTTGAAGTGGTAGCCAAGGTGCTGCTTATGCTTTTCTAATTGTTTTAAGGCTTTTATGAGAAGATATAATTTTATTGTGCTGCCTGTGATGAAAGATGCCTACCATACAGAAAATTGTTTTTCTTTTATTCAGCTATTTGTGATGCCAGGGCCTTAATCTCGCTGTTCTCAAAGTACAACAGTAGTTCATGAAAGGAGTTCCTGTTCTTTTAAAGGCAGCCCCCAACCCAGGATGTGTATTGGAAATTAACCTCTCACCAAGTCCTCTGCATTTTGGCTCAATTCCCTGATGAAAATTGAGTTAGAGAGTAGGTCCTAAGGCTCAGATGCTAAGAAAGGCTGCGTGCTTTTGAGTCTGAGAAGGAGGAAACCCTGCCCCACATGGGCAAGCTGGTGGCCTTCCTGCCTGGCACATCCTGGCATCTCTGGTCAGTGAGTAGCAAACATTAGCCTGAGGAACTGTGAAAATTGTGTGTTAATGAGAGCGTCTCAGTGTGTTGTGCAATCCCAGCTACACTGGTTGCCATTAATCAGAGCTGGGAGAGAAACCTTTTGTGCCTGATTAGTACAGAGAACATAAGGTTCAATTTCATGGGCTTTAAAAACACAAAGAATTTCAGTAGGAGATTGTGGCAAATGACACAATATTGACATCAAATTTCTGACTGAACGGTTGGTCTGGACCCCAGATGAATTAAACAGCTTTTCTCTGTTGCTTTTTGTTGCAGTTCTGAATTAAGTTTCCTTCTCCACCTTTGTCTTTTTGAGTGAGTTGGGTTTACAGGTCAGGATTTGCAGGTGGTTTCATTTGGGGGAATGGCAGATGAGCTGGTGAGCCCACACGATCATTTCCTATCTCTGCTCCCATGGGAAACAGTGAGACTGGTGTTTCAGCTCAGGAGCTCTCCCTAAGAGATTCCTGGATTTTTGTTTTTTAAAACACCTCTCTTGGTTAAGGAAATAAACCCTGAAAAGCATATTTTTAAAATAAATCTTGACAGATTTCCTTGGCTCTTTCAAATGGTGATTCAGCATCCTAAAGGTCAGCTTTAGCTCCTGAACACAAGTGGCCTCGTGTACTAGGCTGGCGCGGCTCCCTCCCTCCACTCCCATTGGTGAGCAGTTACTACAGGCTCTGGCCTAATGGTTGACCTGTTTATCTTCCTGAGAGCCCATTAGGTGGGCACCACACCTCCATTTTATTAGGTAGAACCTTACAAAGTTGTCAGTGAAAGTGCAATGTCCTAAGATTCCAGCTCATACTCTGGGCAAAGTGAGGCTCTGAGAAGTTAGTTGCCTGGCTGACCCCTGGCTCACCCACCGGCACGTGGGGAGCCTCAGCTCTTCGGTCCCATAGTCCATTTCGGGGCGTGGATGACAAACCCACGACTTGACGATGCAGCCTGACCCTCTGACCAGTCCATTGGGATTTGGCTATTGGTTTTTCATAATTGAAGTCTTGCCATCATCAGAAAATCAGAAGGTGTCAGATTTTTTAAAAATCAGATATCAGTTTTCTCTCGAAAATGAGAATTGGTCACACCTTGTTCTGAAGTGAATGTTCATTCCTCCCATCCCAAATCCATATGTTGAAGTGCTACCCTCCAATGCGATGATATTTGGGGTCTTTTAGAAGTTAGGTTTGGAGGAAGTTATAAGGGCGGCCCCATGATGATATCACTGCCCCTATCAGAAGTGGGAGAGAGACCTGAGGGTCCCCTCTCTGCAGTGTGAGGCCATGATGAGAAGGCACCTGTCTGGAAGCCAGGAAGGCTGCCGTCTTTCACCTGGAACCAAATCTGCTGGCTCTTTGATCTCGCGCTTTCAGCCTCTAGAACTGTGATAAGGAAACCTGTTGCTTAAGGCACCAATACTATGGGGCATTTTGTTATGGCGGCGGGACAGACAGATGCCTATTTCCACTTTCACTCAACCACACGTGGCTACAGCCTTGCCTGGCATGCTGCCTTGTCCCCATGGAGCTCCACCCCCACCATTGTCTCTTGGACACTGAGCTGAGCCTTCCTTGGTCTCTTTTGTTGGTATTTGGCCGGTTTTCTCATATATTCAAGTGGCATCACTCTCTCACGTTACCTTCCTGGCCTCTGTAGACACCTGAGTTTGCAGTCCTGCCTCTCACCCACTGCTCAGATGGCCTCTCCATACTGGGTTTGGATGTGAGGACCAGACATTGCATGTTACCCATGATGCATTTGGCTCACCCTTGTTCTCTCAGGGGTATGTTCTATGAGCTAGTCGACTGCCAAACTTCAGAAAAGGCGGTCCCACTTCAGTTTGGGGCAGGAGAGGTAAGATGGGCAAGGGAAATAAAAGCTTGTAGGGAGAGAAAGCTTGTGATTTTCTCTGGCATTTTGTGTTTTGTTCTGTTTTAATAAATATTCCTTAAAACTCTCAAGCGTGTGCTGCCTGGAATCCAATACTACATGGGACCTGCTTTTGTACACAAAAGCAGGTTTATTTTTTTCTGTTTCCTGTGTCAGTATTTCACTGTGTTCTGCAAGGGGCGCCATGACTTCCAAGTATTCTACCATCTGTACAAACCTGAGAGTCAAAGAATCAGCAGGTTGATTTTTTTCTCCAAATCTCTCTGCCTCCCGTTGCCTTCCTTGCTAATGCCAGCAGCAGTCTCTGCATTAGAAAGTAGGGCAGTAGGAAGCTAGCCCTTTCTTTTCCATTTTGAACTCTGTATATCAGCCAGGCCCAGGTGGGGACCAGAGTCTACCCACCAAAATGGGAGTAGATGAATGGCAGTCCCCCAAAACCCTCTTCTTCTGGAAGCCCCATATTCTTTGTGTTGCCTGGGCGTTTCAGAGAAAGGTGTACTCTGAGACGTGGCACATGGCAGATGTTAGCAGATACTGAGGGAAATATCAGGTGTGCTTTTGAAAGCACATTAATGAAGGGAGGCTTGGATTCCAAGAATTCATCCTGTGGAACTGGACCGCAAATCAGTAAAGGCTTAAATGATCTGCTGTGCTGTCGTTTAGCATGCTATTAAAATGGGGCTTTTTTTTTTTACAGAGTAATTTATCCTTAGGAAATGTATCATATTCTGCTGTTCCTTGAGGGGAGAGAAAGTTACGGGGGTGGAAACTAGAGTAATGTAGGTCACAGCACAAATTCCCAACTGGATTTTCAGCAGAAAATGCAGTTGATGTTTTCCCCACCCCCATCTGCTGCCACATTCACTCTTAAAGTTGTTAAATTTACTTTTTGCTGAAATATGAGCTGCTGTGCTCTCCCAGTGAGCAGGGGTTTAGCTTGAGGATGAAATGCTCCAAACTATGCACCACCCAGAGGTCACCTGAGCTTAAGTTGATACTTTTTGCTTTGCACGTCACTACTACCAGGAGTTACACAGCTCCTTGCTAGGAACCTTTGACGCACATTGCTGTGTTAGCCCAACCTTCCAGGCTCCAAAGTCTTCAGCTTTGCCCAGGTGCCAGAAAGGAGTACAGATCCAATTCCTGAGGTCTCAAAACATGTGGCTGGACTGGCAGGCTGCTTAAGTGTGGATAGTGTTTTAAAGAAAAATACTAAAAGTATGTAAATATAAATAAAATTTTAAAAGTTGTATAACTGTATGATGATGGATGTTAACTAGATTTATTGTGATCATTTTGCAATATATACAAATATCAAATCCTAATGTTCTACACCTGAAACTAATATAATGTTTTATGTCAATTATACCTCATTTAAGAAAAAGGTTTTTTTCTGGTAGGTAAAATTATGGGCTATCTTCTTGCTTGCTTTCTCAT